CCACCGGAATTCAACAGCACGAGGGCCGTTTGAAAAGCTCTCGAAACGAAATAGAAGAACAACCGTATCTTTTCACGGTTATTTCCATTTTTCGACATAATCGCCCTTCATTAATGCTTAACTTTAGCCACCTGTGCCCCCCCCTCCCTCCCCGAAGGTTTCATTATCCCATTACGAAACTTGAACTTGTGAAATGATGCAAAAGGAGAATGGAAAATCTCTTCCCAGCGAGGAATTTCTTTAATCGTAGGAATAAGAAGTCAGAGCTAGAATATAAGTAAGAATAACGCGGCAACAAATCGTACTGTGATTCGTGAGTATTCACTCACGGTAATATTTGGTTTATTTTTCAACAGTCACGCAAATGTGTTCGCACTGAAATGTATAAGAATGAATCTATTTGACGGAACGACTTGGAGATTTGTAGAAGTGTTCGTAGAAGGGTTGAAACGAGGGGTAAACCGCTGAGGGCATTGTGGTGTACAGATTTGCGGCATTGCTGGGCATCTTTTGGGCATTAGGCCTTGCTGGGGAATTATAAAGATAAAACCAGATAAAGTAATGGGCATTAGTACACGGAGAGAATTTTCTCTTGAAATTTAGCCTGAAAATTATGTAATCGTGGGACAACGTGGCATTTTGAAGAACTGTATTAGAGTTTGGGTCTTGGCTCCATAAGTCCACGACAACGGTTTTTGCTGGTGCAATTCGCTCTCAATCTTAATACCTCCGACTCTTATTTGTAACTTATTTACGTATTAATCGTTTTAAAATATTTTTTTGTATATCTACCGTTAGATCACTTGAAAAGGACCACAAACGACGGTCGAAACGTTGTGTGTTTTAAACATAAAAATTGCCAGACATGGTCAAGTTACCATCGAAGTCTTTTGTATTAGAGTTTTTCAAATTTTACCAGTAATTATACTTAGTGTACATTTAACTACTAGAACGTATGATAAAATTTAAAAAAACTCCTAAAGTTCTTCAAAATGCCACGTTGTCCCACGATTACATAATTTTCAGGCTAAATTTCAAGAGAAAATTCTCCATGTCCCACGATTACATGATTTTCAGGATAAAGTTTGAGAGAAAATACTCTCTTCATGTAGGCATTGGTCCTACATGATTTTGGTCAGCGGGGTTTACTCCTCGGGTTGAAACTTCCCGTTTAACGTACGTGGAAAGGGGAAAGTGCCGATGTGAGCCACAAAATGAACAGAACTTGGTTCTCACACAATAAAAGTTAGAATTTATCTTCGATAAGAAACAAACGTATCGACCCTTCTTCGGGTCCTCCCGTTTAACGTATGACGTTGATTCCGTGAACTTTCCAAATGAGCCACGTATACCCCGACATAAACCACTGGATTACCACGCGTGAAAAATGTCACGACGATCGCATTGGCGAGGCTCCGAGAGTGAAGGAAGACCGTAAAATAAATGGAGAGACCAAGGAGCGTTTCCTTCTTTGCGGCGAGCGCTTCCTCGGGACACGGGGCACGCGGGATCGCGGCGAACATAATTGGGTCGAAAAACGCTGGGAATCTCGTCGCGCTTGTGGATGCAAAACTAATATAGGAGAGTCGCAAGTTTCCGAGCGGCGGACCCGCCTGGAAACTTCCGCCTGGGGCCGAAGTGACCAAGTAAACTTTTGCACAAAGCTGTCCGTGAAACGCGATAAACGTACGCAGACCTAGAAAACACGTCGCGGACTCTCCATCCACGACGTTAAGTCCTCCGCTTTGTACCGCTAGTACTTTATACAAACCCGTCCGTCGGTCCGCAAACACTCGAGTCATGTAGAATCACTGCTCGCGCGGGGAGGGGGGGTTCAAGATCCGCGTTACGCACGGTTTTCCACTCGAGGAGGAGTATCTTACAAGAAAATTCTCAAGACCTGGCGCAAAAAGACGTCCGTCAAATATAATTTTATACCGCACGAGGGCACGTGATCGATTTTACAAGTCTTTGGGGGATCGTCGCGCAAATCCCATTTGCTCGAAACGGTCGTCGGAAATTGCGAACTTTAGCCGCGACTTTGCGCCTCCCCGCCGCTCCCCACCGACCGGTAACGGCAAATTTTTGACGCTAACAATTTTCTTAGCGGCAAGTTGCCGGTTCTCTCTCTCTCTCTTGCGCGCGCGCGCGCGTGCGTATGTGCGTGCGTGCGAGAAATAAATGTGCGCAACCAGAAACGCGTTCTGCGTAGCTCGTAACGGACCGAGCGAGCAAACCTGTCTCGCTCGTAGGGGCCCCCCCATTGAAGACGAGGGGTACCGAGGGGTGCGGCGTTACCGTCTCCTACCTTTAGAGAGGGAACGGAGTATCTCGGGAGAACTTCTCCTCGGCCAGGTTTCCAGCGGCCTATCGATCGGCTTAACAACCGGCAGTGGCCGTAATTAACGTTAGCCGGCTGAAAAATGTAATGCCGCGGAATGCTCGCCGCTCGGTCGCCCGCGAATAGCTTTCGCCCCCCTTGAAAGCGCGCTGCTCCTCGAACGCGTTATTTCCGCGCGACTCGATCGTCGCCATTCGTGTGCGGGGGATCCAAAATTCTTACAGAACTTCCGCGAACTTTTGTGCGCAAACGTGTATTTCTTCTCGTTTGAGGTTTCACCAACGTCGCTTTAGGCTCGGCTGAATTCACGAATACGAAGTAATAAAGGATATAAGAGTCAAGACAGGATGTTAGTGTCTGAATGATTTTAATTTTTTTTATTGCGAAAATTTACCTCAGCCAGGGTTTGAACCTGGACTCTCCCTCTTACTGGGCGGGCGTCTCACCAATTCGACCACCGAGGCATGTAACGTCCTGTCTTGCCTCTTATATCCTTTATTACTTCGTATTCGTGACTTCACGTGAGAGCCTTATGAATTTTATTTGTTTAACTGGCTTAATTCGTTCTTGGTATCTTTTCCACTATTACTCTAGACAGAGTCAAACGTGAATTGAACTAAGATTGGAGTTAAGCGACGTTTGGAAAAACCGGGCCTGTACATTCTATTAGTACCGGCTTGCCCGTAAACCGGCGTTCTATATTCTCGGCACGGATTAATTTACAACTGTGTCCCGTGTGAATTATTCGCCAAATATGAAGATCGAATCGACGTCGCGCGCCGCGAAGAACTGTCGAGCGCTCTTGCGACAGTAAATTTTATCTTCGTCTCCGATTCGACGAATGAAAGTGCATCGCGCCGAAACGAGATTGGCCATGAACCGCGAAATTGGCGTTTCATTTCGTTTGATTCCGCGTTACAAATGACGCTATATTTTACACTTGCGGAGAGGAGATGTCGAGCGAACGTTACGGTCCTTCTCCTCCTCATGTCTTACGATATTGGACAAACTTAAGGGGTTAAAAGTTTTGGAATCTGCTGGCAACGAGTCCGATAGATTCGGTAGCTTCGTTTGACGAACGTACTCTCTGAAAGACGATCAGTGGATTATCGCTGAAAACAGTGAACTTTCACTGATTTAAAGTTACAGAGCTTTGTGTCCACGATCCGAGAACCGTGTCCAAGTTCTATAAGTTTCGAGAAGTGTGTAGCCGATCAACTTGCAGCTTTTCCGTAAAAGATTTAAGTTGATCGGCCACACACTTCTCGGCCACACACTCTTATAGAACTTGGACACAATGCCTAACGCAGTGATTGACTGTTAGAGAGCAAATAATAATAAAGCATGAGAAATACGATGCTTCTCATTGCTTTCGCGTAAAACTATTTCATCATGTTAGACATTAGCCAACGGCATACTATTTTTCCTACTGGATTGCTTAGAGAGCCAATCAGGATCTAGCCTTAAGTCACCTGATCTAAAACTCTGCATCCTTATTGGCTCTCGTAAGCAATCCAGTAGGAAAAATAGTATCATGTGCCGTTGGCTTTAGACCATAGACGTATAATATATAGACTGCGCATTCTGGCTGCAGAAGTGTACAAACTTTAGAAAGAGACAGCATCTTTGAACAGTACCCTCTTATCCTGTATCCTCTATCATACCCCTCTTCTGTTACCCCTCACTACTTCACTAGACAAAGATGAGGCTATACTGTTCTAGAGACCCTGTAATCAGAGACTGGCCATAAGAGTTCGTCAAATTCCTGCGAGTGAGAGAGAAACATAGGCTATCTCACTCTTCTACGATTCTACGATCTCTGATTACAGGGTCTCTATACTGTTCAACACCAGCTATCTCATACTAAAGTTTGTACATGTTTTCACACGGGTGAGGTAGGAAACGCGCAGTCCATTCTTACTATGTCTATGCTTTAGACTCGGTGTAGTCGCATCATTCTCAAACGGAGCCCCTAAGTTAATACAGCGGTGCATCGCATTCCCGGAATCGCCGCTCCTCGGCCGCGCGCTATTGTCATGCTAATCCCGAAGTTCACTCCGAACCATTTATTTCTAGGCGTGCGAATTAAACGCCCCGATAAATAAATTCCGCCACGATAATCTCGCGCGTCGCATAAATCAAACGTACAAATTTCATCATCGGCTCGCGCGCGCCGCGTTCAATCGCGGCCGATGGTACACGTGTATCGATTGGAAAGGAGGTTGACGGCGTTCTGTGCTTCGAAGATGAAAGGACAATTAAATAATGAATAATAGCGATTTGACGAAACGCGCGGGACGGCGCGAATTGTCCGGATGACATCCCGTGCCGTCAGCCTTGATCTACAACGTGCTCTTTGCGTCTCGAAACATTCTATTTTGTAGTCGATAAATGCGCTTAAAAAATTTGATAAATTGTATATTACACATCGCGCAATCATACATTGCCGGCAAATGTTTTAATTTGTTTACGTAAAATAGAATGCTTCAAGATGCAGAGAGCACCAGCGTAGATTAGGCTTTCGTCCGCAACGGGTGTCGGATTGAAACAAAGGGATTTTTCGCGCCGAAAAAGCGTATTCTACGAATAAGAAAGAAGAAGAAAAGAACCGCAATTGGTACACGATGGTCCCGTAACCCAGATGTTTCTCTGATTTCAGTACGAGGACCGAGACTACCTGGGAGCGCTTGAGGAGCACGTCCCCCGAGACTCCCCCGATCAAAATCACTCGCCTAACCTCTCCCCTGTCCTCCTTGCCCTCCTCCGCACCCTTCCCCCCCGCGAACGTCGAGAAGGTCTCCAATCGAAGCCACAAGATCCGCAATCACGCAATGGACGGCATGGACAACAAGCCGGTGTTGAACGATGATCCCTCGGTCACCCTGACCATCCGCCTGATCATGCAGGGCAAAGTAAGCTGTACCCGTTATATATCTGTACCGGCGCGAAATAATTTCATTCGAGTCCACTCGTTCGGGCACGCACGCGTTCGGACCGCCGTTCGGAGCCGCGTGTTTATCGCGTTTTAACGTCACTGCGTTCCTCTTCTCTTTTTTTTTCCTTTTTCGACCGATCCAAAGTGCGGAACGTTAAGGGCCGGTTTCACAAACGTCGGTTAACTGATAACCAAAGGTTAACCGATTCTCTGTCTCTTCTTGGGTGATAAGATAGAAAAAGATAGGGAATCGATTAAACTCTGACGAACAGTTCACCGACGAATTTGCCCTAAGGGCCAATTTCACAAACATCGGTTAACTGTTAACTAAGGTTCAGTCGACTTCCCTATCTTTTTTCATCTTATTGTTTAAGAAGAGTCAGAGAATCCATTAACCTTCGGTTAACAGTTAACCGATGTTTGTGAAACTGGCCCCAAGCGTTTTACAGGAAATTGCCCAAGGGATTTAACGTCTCTTCTAACACGCATATTTCTGCATTACGGATTTCAATGGCTTTTCGCGTACACATTTTTCGATAATTCCCGCGCTCGTTGTTTTACGCTCGTTCGGTGACCCGAGTGTGTGGGAAGACTCTTTTTTCTTATACAATTGAGATTGCTACTCGCGTGTCCCGCTATGAAATCGGAGAGGCAACAGTAATAAGATAATGCATTATCGAGGGCGGAAAACTCGTGCTACGTGTGCGCGCACATGTGTAACGCTGGTGCGCGCGTGTGCGTTCAAAATCTCGCGGTATCAAACAACCTCCCACTGGATATCAACTGATATCCGTTTGTAGAGGCGCGCGTTGGCTCGGCGAATAAATCACATTTATCGTCCGTATCCCATTTCTGAGCGCATGATTTTTGGCGGTTTGCGAGAGGCGTTGGTTGGAAAAAAAGTATCGAAGGCATGTCAAAGGTTTTTTGTTTTTTTTTTTTGTAAAACGCGTGTCCGATGTGCTTCGGATTAATTGTATCGTCGCGTTCGGGTTTTATTGCGGCGATCGTGAAAATACCCGAGCGCTCGTCGTCCGTGATCGTTCTGGGACCGGATTCTTCAATTCACTTGCAAGAGAAACGTACGCGCAAATTATGCTCTCACGGAAACGTTGCAGGTCGATCGACTAGAGCCTAATCTACAGTGTGCGTCTAGGGACATTCCATTCTATACAGGTTGTTCCAGGAGGCAAGGTCAATATCCTGGGAGATGATAGTATAGGTCGCTTTGAGCAAAAATGTTCATATGAATATATGTCCCATTCCTCTCTGTTTCCGAGACAGAGCTACTTGAATGTCTCGTGTATTTACTGTTTTTCTGTACACCTCACTCTTCATCCAACCTCATGAACGTCTGCGGGAATTTGCTCTTATACGTCTGTTGACTGTTGTGCCGATAACATAGTAGAAATATTCAAAATGCCTCGCATATTCACAAATGTCGAATATGTAGGTATGCTCTATGTTTGCGGTTTCGGTGAAGGTAGTGCTATTGCTGATGTTGAAGAATACCGTCGACGCATTATTTATTATGATCTGCAAAAAATGTATCGGTTGAACAATAAATATGAGAAATAGTACGTGGTATATTTCTTTCTCGTCAGTAATTTTGCAACTGTACATTCAAATAGCTCTATTTCGGAAACAGTGGGGAACGGGACATATAGTCATATGAACAATTTTGCTTAAAATGATCGATACTGTCACCTCCTAGAATATTGACCTTTCCTCCTGGGACAGCCTGTATAAGCGAATCGAACATTTGTCGACAACGACAATGAAAAACCAGGCCTTAGAGGTATTTAATAATCTATTGTCAACTTTAAGAATACTTATAATTATTTTAACAGTGAAATCATTTTAACAAACTAATAAAATTTGTATGGCTTAAATGTGATAAACACAAATTTGAAGGAATAAAGGACTAAGAGCCGTGACAGGGTGTCTAAATATTTCGTAATTTTAAATTTATTGCGAAAAATATTACCTCAGCCAGGGTTTCAGACCGGATCTCCCTCTCACTAGGCGGGCGTCTTAACCGATTTGACCACCGGGCATGTGACATCATTTTAATCATGATCTTTGATTAAAAAATGTGTTATTTTCTAATTATTTTCTTTCCATTCAAGAAAATATTGTATATTTTTCTCGATTGAATTATATAAAATTGCTTCATTCAAGCAAGTTTTTCTTTGTTTCTCGTTTCAAGATTTTCACGTTGAAACTACATGTATTTTCAAAAGAAGAAAATTCTTTTTTCTGTATAGAACGTTTCTAGACGCACATTGTAGATTAGGCTTAAAAGCCATGCTTGCAACTTTTCCTGTAAGTAAGAGCAGAATTTGCGCGTGCGTTTCTCATGCGAAGAAATTGACGAATCTACTCTCTAAAAGTCAATCAGTGGATGATCACAGAAAACAGCGGTACCGCGGTAACGTGCGTTTGCCGGAGTTCCGAGAAAAAGACGTAATTGCTTAGCTGGCGCGGCAATGATAAATCTCGGACGTGTCACTCGCGGTCCCTCACTGTCACTTACAGTGTTCTCTTTTTGACAATTGCCGCGAATTATTTACGAGAGGCCGGTGCGCGCCTTTCGACACATTGTGGCTGGTCACAGCGTTCTGGCACGTAACATAATTCTTCTCATCGGAATGGAAAAGCCGGGCTTATTTTAATACATCAGCCAGACGCCCATTCGCGTACGTACAGGGAACTAGAATTGCGGGACCTAAAGTCTTTTTTTTTAACTAATGAGAATATTCTTAAAAGTCGCCAGCAGTGATTAACAACATTAGTGATTTTTATTGACCGTATCTGGCAATTTTAATAATACAGAAAATTTATTGCGAAAAATATTACCTCAGCCAGGGTTTGAACCTGGACTTCCCTACACTCTAGGTGGGCGTCTCAACCAATTCGACCACCGAGGCATCTTTTTTCACCTAGAGTTAATAAAAGGAAGTGCATCGCGGATCTTCGTGCGTGTCGAAATACAAAATTTAATTAACAAATTAATAAAATTCGTATGGCCCAAATGTGAGAGACACGAATTTGAAGGAATAAAGGACCGAGAGCCGTGACAGGGTGTTAGTGTCTAAATATTTTATTCTAAATTTATTGCGAAAAAATATCACCTCAGCCAGGGTTTAAACCTGGACCTCCCTCTCGCTAGTAGGCGGGTGTCTCAATCAATTCGACCACCGAGGCATGTGGCAATATTCATCGCAGTAAACAGTTTAATGTTGATTCCCGAGTGCCACCTAAAATTTAATAAGTCTTTAAGAGATAAAACTCTTGGAACGTTTCGGCACGAATTCGAGCCATCTTGAACGATGTCAAATTTACAATTCGATGTCGCGATAATTATTCCCACGTTCAATCAAGCCGTTTGCGAGGTTCTACTCGAGACTGGTCGATCAGAAGGCTATAGCGCACCAGCGGAGAACCAAATGTGTTATCTTCTTTTGTTCAATTAATTTCTACGAGCCGACAGCGTGCGACAATGCAGATTCGAATCGTTACGATGTTATTACCATATTGTTAGCGTCCTTTGTCATATCGAAGTCATTATCGCGGAGATATGTTCCATCTGCGATAAACCACGGATGAACCGTGTTGGCTGAGATAATGCAGCTATTGAGATGACTTAAAGGCCATTTGTCATCGCCCGTTCGCGCGATCTTTCCCACTGAAAAGCGAAATCGAACGTACCGCGGTAGAGCGCATCGTCGGAGATGCTCATCGGAATCACGTTTGACCGCGCACGAGGCGTACAATGTACGCCTGAAGCGTACGGGCCGTTTGACGCGATGCCAAGAATCCGAGCTCGTTGTTTTTCGCGTAAACTAAGTTGCGATCTCCGTGAGCGGGGTGTCGCATAACTGGCGGATCCTCCGTCGGCCGCTCGCTGGCCGGAGGCCGGGATTTCTGTCCGCGGGAAAACTCGATGAGATATCGAGAAATTCATCCCCCCCCGATCGTGCCGATGTCATTTCTCAATATCGCGTGTCTCGCGGCACTGAGCGCCGCGAATCAGATGTTACTCGTGTTACGCCGGAGCTCGCTGGATATTACGCGGCAATCGAATTTGCGACGTGGAGCTGCACGACTATCCTTGGCCAATCAATTTGAAAGCAATCTACGCCGCGATAAAGACGCGCGTGTAAATTTCATTGCGAATCGCTCGGCGAGAGGAAACGTCGTCTCCCCATTGAAATCACGACTTACGTCGGGGATGTCTGCGGGAATGTTCTTCATTAATCCTTTGATTCTTAGAAGAATATTTAAAGGGAGTTGCCCGAGTGGCGGGCTCAGAGACCGAAAGATCGTGCGCGGGAATGGAGCAGAGGGGCAATTACACGAATGTTTCAGCTCTGCGATGACAGGGGGAAGAGGAGCACTCGTGGTCATCGGTAAAAGCAATTTTCGTTATGCGCTCCAACTCTTTGCCTTGCGTATCACCGCGTCTTCCCTTTGCGGACATCTGCGAAAGTGGCACATGTTACGGATACCCTTGCCTGAGATTTCATCCTCAGTCATCTTCGGTGGAGAAGCCGATTTTCGTTAGCGGTTCTTGTCCACCCTGTTACGAGCCGTTAATCCTCGCTCCGTGAATTTCGATTTTTTCCGGAAAAGCTCCTGACAGTGAAGCCAATAATTGCAATAATAAACGCATGTATTTTGCGATCAGCTGATAATTTTACGAACTAATATATGTGAAAAATAGAATAGATATTCTCGAAAGAGGGAGAACAAGTCCCCAGAGAGCTTATCTAAGAAAAGTTCATCCTATTCGCTCCGTGAAATCGATTTCTTCTAGAAAAAAGCTCCTGACAGTGAAGCCAATAATTGCAATAATGAACGCATGTATTTTAGGGTCAGCTGATTATTTTATGAATTAGTATATGTAAAAAAAGACCAGGTATTCTCGAAAGAGGGAGGAATTCCCAGAGGGTTTATTTAGGGGAAGTTCATCCT